GGACCCTGCACCCTCCCTGCGCTCTCCTGGCCACACAGTCCTACCCCTGCTGGCTGTTGGCGCTTGCCTGATCCTTCCAAGAATCCATTCAGCACAGAGGAACAGAAACTCTGGCAAAGTATGATGTATTTTCTCTGAGTTTAACTCTATGAATTAGCTTTACCGGGGTCAAATGAGTGACACAGAAGATGGAGCTCACACTGGGAGTGGGGAGCAGGCTCCTGCTTGGGGGGCTGTGTCAGCTGGACTAGTGTTGTTAAAACTGGTGAAATAAGTTCTCAGACGCTTGATCACTGAGTTGTACACACTGCAGGAGTGACTCCCTTTGAAGCACTTAGTGTTTTCTTCCTGAAAGGTGCGTTCTTACTGGAGGCTGTTGTCCAAACACAAATTGCAGAGGTTGTCCTAGAACCCAAACAACACTACTGAAGTCAGCTGGAGCAAAGGATGCTGCTTGGCTGGGGATGTTGTATTGCCATCATTCTAGGAAATTGCTAAATGAGGGTAAAGGTCCTCCAGCACTAGAAAGCACAAGCTGGCTGTTACTGCAGAAGCAGGCAAACAATGTGCCAGAGCCAGGAACTTGTAAGCACGTCACAGCTCTAGGCACATACTAAAGCCACAAACAAAAATGCAAAACCAGAAGTCTAAGACACTCGCTGCTTTCCCTCTTCAAGCCTGGGCTGAAAGTGGGATGTGGGGGAGATGGGTTTTACAGCACTAAGTGGGATTTTCCAATTGTTTTGCGGGCATTTTGGAAAAATCCCCACTACAGTCAGGCCTACAGCTAACTCTATTAATCTGCCTGTTTAAAATTTTCCTGCTGCTGACCCGGTCAAAAACTGAGCACTGGAAGTAAATTATCCAAGGAATTAATACCCCCATTCCCCCTAACCCTAACCCTAACCTCCCCCCCTTTTTTTTTTTCCCCCCTTCTTTCAAGTTGCTTGTAAACCTGTCTTTCTGAAGATGTACGTGGTATTCCAAGTGTTCACCAAACAGCTTCTGCCAAAAAATTTCGGCAGGGGGGCTCTTTCCCAGAATGATTATTTTATCTGTTTACTCTTTTTACTTTTGATGTATGAATGATTCCCTAAATGGTTATGTATTATTTCTGCTTCTCATCCCAGAGGATTGTAATTTTTTTTTTAAACCAAGGAGTAAGAAACTATAAAAAGAAAGAAAGAAGCGGCATGTGCGATGTAGTCTCTTTTGCAATATGAATATGGATGGCATTCATCCAGTGCACATCCTTTAAACTTAACCAGAACACAGCATTCATTCATGAATTAGAAAATATTAAAATACAAACCTAACCAGCCTCTGGAGCCATTTAGAATCGGTCCCAGCCTTTGCTCCATTTTGCAGTATTCATCTGGGGCTCTGACAGACATAGCCGTGGCAGCAGTGTGTGAGTGTTACTGACTTCAGCTGTCTGCAGACCTTCCCCTGGTTGCTGTGGTGGGAGGGGTAGAACGGATGTAGTCTCAGTTGCTCCCATTCAAAGTCTGGTACATTAGCTTAAATCACCAGTGAAACAGGGTTGTGTTAAGATGCCAAATCGTGAACTACAGCAGCTGAGGCACACGGCTAAACAGATTGAATGGGCCTTTTGCTTCTGAAAAGAACAGACCTGTACAGCCCCCTCCTCCTCCCCGTTCTCCTCAACCCCCCGTGCAAGTCAGGGGAAGAAGTGGAAGTTAGGGGAAGTAATAGAAAAAGTGCAGATTAATCAGCCAGAGGGTGACTATCAAAACCAAGCTACTCTTCTGGCTTGCGAACCTTTATTTCCTGAAGCAAAAGGGACCTGGTGGTAGGACCCTGTGGGCTGTTTCTCTCTCGAATGTGTTTTTCTATCTCAGAACACACTGTTGCATCTCATCATGTTACTGCTCCGCCTCCATGCTTACTTGTCAATGGCAGATTGTTAGTAGGGGAAGGTGAAACTTTTGCTCAGAAACCAAAATAGAGATGTCCGGTAAGAAAAGTGTATTATTTAAATTGATTCACATTAAAGTCTTGTCTTTTAATGAGTGAACTAATCTTTTCAATTAAAAGGTTTTAATTTAAGTTTTGTCTTAGTGTTTGGCTAACAGGTGCAAATCAGGCGAGGCTGCTCTATCTTTGTGTGCCGGTTTTTTTTCCATTCTGTGACCGTCTGTGTCATTTGAGGTTCTGTCAGTCCTCAAAACTGAAAAAGAGATTGCTTTGAAACACACCAAGCAAGAAAATGTTTATTTGTGAAAAAGTGGATTAATGGCACTTCTTGCTGATAAAAATCTGCCCTACGTCTTACCAATGGACAGTAGGCATACATCTTCTCTAGTGCAAGTTATTTCTTGCAGTCTGGTCAGCAACTTGGTTATTGCCTGCAGGGAGCTGAGGAGGGTATTTGTTTTTATCCTGCCATTGGTCATGGGAATTGAAAGTGCCTTTTTTGACTCGCAGAACTGTAAATATTGTTACTGGTCGTAACATCCTCCTGACCTCTTTTCAATGCTTCTCCAGTATTTGGCTTTCTGACCTGCTCCACGAGATGGCAAATTCCACAGGCTGATGCCACTCTGGAGAAGGTGTGTCTCCTGCCAGGGAGACTTTCAATTTTGCTGAGTGAGCTTTATTCTCATCTTTTAGGATGAGCAAAAATGTTGGGAACCAATCTGTTATCCTTAGAACCATCAAAAATGGACTTGATCACCTCTCTCAGCTCTCTCCTGTGCTGGGCTAGAGACTCATATTATTTCCGTTCTCTTGTCACCTGACAAGGCTGTTAGTCCAAACGTGTAAGAAATGCTTTCCCTATAAATACACAATCATGTTTCTGTGTTGCATCTCAGCCATGTTCCTGGCTGTTCCTGCCACTCTATCCCAGAGCTCCCAGCGGAGGAGCGAATCAGGAGTCACCTCCCTACAGCACGCAGCACACGTTCCTGCAGGTTCCTCATAAACTCACAGCTAGAAACATCCAGGAAGACACCTGCTCTGCAGTCGGTGCTCAAAGCAGGGTCTCAACAAAGTCTTTTAAATTGACTTTCTACTGAAAGGCGTATTTTTCCCCCCTTCCACAGATCCCTTTATCTCACGCTTCTTAAATCACAACACACTGGGACCCTCTGCCTGCCTCAGCGGTGCAGTTGTATGCAATGTACTTTCCCTCCCTTGCCAGCACTGCATATTTCCTGATGATATGCATGCACTTGTCTCTGTTTGGTACTTTCTGGTGGCTTCGTGAAATCTCTCTGTGCTGTCACAAATCAAATCTCAGATCTTTGGTGTGGCATCCTATGTAGAGAGAGACAGGAACACTTGTAGCATCAGAGAATCGCTAAAGTTGGAAAGACCACCACAGTGATCTAGTCCAGCTGTCAGCCAGTCTCCACCATGCCCACTGACCATGTCTCTCAGTGCCACATCCACCTCCAGGTTCTTGACCACCTCCAGGGACGGTGACTCCACCACCTCCCTGGGCCTCCACCCTTTCCTACTTCAGAAACACATATGTATGCTCTTTTCAATGTTGTAACTCAAGGAAACTTTGTCCTTCTGGCATTATTTACTTTTCTGAGTGTTGTAAGGACTACTTTTGGCTGATGGCACTGCTAATCACTTTTGGCTCTTCTTAACCTCAAGATGAAATGGAAGAGAAAAGTCTGACTGCGGAAAACATCTGAAATCCAGATTTTTCTGTAATTTCTGACCATTTTAATCTGTGAAGTTGATTTTTTTCATCTATGGACCGTGCTAAAAATCCAGTATAGACCTGAAACTATTCACCATATGGGAAGATTTAATATACAAGGATTTAACTTTATTTTTATTTAGCATAATTTCGTATCCTCTTTGTCCTCTGTCCCCAGTTCCTGGCTCAGTGATGTCTACATTTTTCCCAAGGAAAGTTTATCCTCTCTCTTCCTGAGTGATAAACAGAATGTATTTTTACCAACTGTCAAAGCTACCTCTACATATTACTCAGTTATGGTGTCTCTGTCTCTGAGCATAACTGTTCCAAGGTTTTATAAAGCTGCTCTGCTTTTAGGGAAGGTCCTGCAGGACCAGAGAACCTCTACTCTTCTTTCCAGTCCACTGCTCCAGCTCTGGGTTGATAACCCTGACTATTCCCAAGGGTGCATACCTTACGTTTTAGTCTCTTTGAGATGGACTGAAGAATTAAAAATTGAGCCAGCAGGTGGACTTCCCCACTTTTAATTCTGAGAACATTAAAGACTGTAACAGACAGAAAAATCAGCGGCAAAATTTGGATCCCGCTGTCAACCTCCCCGGGGCTGGAAGCTGAGCCCCAGGCAGTGCTTCACACTCTGCCCTTCTCCAGAGTTGTCCCAAGCACGGATCTGGGCTTGAACTTCGGATGAGTGTTTGTGATCTGGGGTTTTGATTCCGTTTCATCTCTAAAGTTTCTTTTTCCAAACCCTTGGGCAGTTGCCCTTTCCTAGAACACATGCTGAGAGCAAGAAACACCCTTCTTAAAAAACACAAATACTCAGAAAGGAACGTGGAGAACTGAAAGAGTTTTATCAAGAAGTGTTGTTTCTCTGCAAACCCCACATAGGAAACCCTGGCCTCTGCACTCGCTCAGCATTTGCTGTATTTATTTCTTCTCCTCCTCTCCAGATTGGGAGCAGTTTCTGCCAAACAGAGCAAGGCTTTGTGAGATGAGGAACGGATCGGAGTTTTGCAGCTTGTAAAGTATGTGCTGCCTCCTCCTGAGAGCTGAACACTCCCTTCTGCCCCCGCTGCCCCCCAGAGCAGCTCTTCTTAGCAATTCCCCTCTTCTTACCCTCTTTCAGGAAAAGACTCCTAGCTCCTGGCAGAGCAGGGGCAGAGCTAGTTTCACTTCAACGGAGAGCAGAGGCAAAAAGCAGCAAGTGAAATTGGCTGCTGGAACAGAGAAGCGAGTGATAGAAGTGGTGAATGTATCCCCTGAAGCAGGGATCTTCCCTCCCGTTTCTCCCTCCCCAGCTATTTCCCCGAGATGGACTCACTTGCAGGTTGATGCTCTCCCCTTCCGAGGCCATCCCGCTGCCCCCGGCTCCCTTCCCTGCAGACGGCACGAGGAGCGGTGCACTCTGCGTTCCCGGAGACTCTCTCCTTGCTGGACCAGGCCGCTCAGCTGCTGGAACAGACCCACTATTCATCAGCTGCGGCCGGCCGCCCGCCTTGGCATCGGCTGGGGGCTGAGAGAGGGGGTGGCAGCCAATGCTGCATTGTCCAGGCAGCGCGTGGAACAAGCGTTCTTCTTAGACTTTCCATGACAGTCATGCTCATGACGTGTCTGTGTTACCTCTCAGAGCCCAGCTGAGCCTCATGAGCTCGCTTGGGCTGGGATGCAGGTTTGCAGCCAGTGTACCAAGCGGTTCCTGGCGTGGGCTGTTTGGCTTCAGTCGTGATCCCCAGCTCGCCCAGCTCATCAGCACGCAGCTGAGTGTGCAGATGAAAAGCTAACGGGTAAAGAGCTTAGGTCCAGAAAGTTATGCCTGCTAGCTGCTGCCACAGCAAAGATATTGTTACGGCTGAGGTAAAATTTCCACTTTGCTCTGTTTATAGTCGCTTCTTCTCATTTTTCTCCCTAGCCAAAATGCCCTTCCTTATCCCTCCCCAGCACTTTTTCTAGCTTCAATTTGATATAGCTGGTCTTGGCTGAAATCGAGTTCTGCTTTTTGCTTAAGTCAAAAACAACTACAGATGTCACTGGAATGGAAACACATGCAGCCAGAATCAAATCACAGTGTAGGAAAATAAGTTATTATTAGGTGGAATGCTTAGGCAGAAGAATCAGTGCAATTCTCTAGATTCTGGATTCTCTGCTATTTTGTACCACCTGCAGATCAGGTCAGCTTCTTCAGCTTTTTGAAGGACAATTTCCCTCGTCACAATAGCATGAAAAATGTATGGTAAGTAATATATGCTGCTTAAACAGTTTAACCAAATGCATGTCCTATTGCTCCAGCCTTATAAAAAGTGCTGACAACTCTGTCAGTAGGTGATCCTGTTGCATTGATGCTTCCCAGTAAAAGGCCTGGTTTTGCAGTGATAATACCAGTGCTTAGTACTGCAAGTTCATTTCAAAGTGCTGATGAATTTAGTCCCCCTGCATTCCTCTCAAACAGCTTTCTTTTTTTTTCTCACAGATGTGTGAGCTGAAGCAGTGAGATATATCCAGTGAGCAAGCTAATACTATGCAGGAAAGCAGGATGAGGATATCCCTCATCTGACCTTTAGGCTATGGCCTCTACAGCAGCTTGAGCCCACCTTGGCCAGGGATGCTGCAGGGATGCAGCCTTGCCTAGCTCACCCTTGAGCTCTGGCTCAGCCTTGGGCCAACATCAGGCAGCTGGGAGCTGACCCAGCCACAAACATAACCGGGGCAAGGAAGGGGGCAGAGCCACATAGTTCCCATGGAGAAAGGCTTCTGTTACTGCCAAATTATCTTTCTCAAGACAATGTGTCTATGTGGACTTGATCAAGCTTACTTTCTCCAGGGAGCAGTTATTGATTTTGAGAGATCCTTCTCCTTTAAGTCTGTTGGGCCGTGTGCATGGCTCACCTCCCTGGTTATTCTGACGTATAGTAAGGGGTAACGCAACAGCAGCTCGTCTGCTGAAAAGATAAGGCAGAATTGTCATTTGGGCCCAATCTGGGCCCCCATCCAACAGCTAGACAATCTAAACCAACATCTTTCCTTCTAAAGTAAGTGACAGAGGCTAGAACAAATGGCTTCTGTATTCTTGCTTTCGTTTGTTTTGATAACACAGTCAGCTTTTAGATTTAATTTTGTCTTCTGAAAGCGAACGACACAAAAAGACCTAAGACTTCAGCTTGCTTAAAAGATACACTCTGTTTACATGAATTTAGGTGCAGCTGATTCTATAGTCACAATGAAAGCCACCTTCATGGCTCCTACTCTTGAATGAGAGGCTATGTCTTGTTGCTAGTGAAGAGCTTGTTTAAATGGAAAACAAAAGTGAGGCACTACTCCTTGCTCCTTTTCAGCAGCTGTTGGCTTTTTTTTTCTTTACTGAAAAGAGCATCTAGTTCAAAACCCACTGGCTACCTCCTGCTGTTGACTTGCTGTCCTGGTGTTAACTATATGTTAACTAAAAACTCACTGTAAGTAAGTACACTGTTACAGGGATGGGAATATAGACATTTACATGTTCTCAATTACTTTTCTTAGCATACTCTAAAAAAACATGGTTGACCAGTTTATAAATAATATATTGTTTATTGATAGATAATTTGCACTGGATGTGCATCCACTGTGTTTGTTGAGGCCACTCCTGGGAGTCACAAGGAGTTCATGCTGTGCAGATTTTTTGTGAACACATCTCCAGCAAATGATCCGTGAAGTCTGGCCAAAGTTTTTGAGTCCCTACACATGTGACAGGCATAAAAACAAGTCCAAAATAGCTTTTGGTGGTCAGACAGGAATGAAGTATCCATCACTTTACTTGATAGATAAACAAAAATCACCAGTGAGCTAATTTCGGACAAGGTTCATGATATAAAGGGAGCCTACAGAGGGGAGGGGAATCAACTCTTTGAAAGGGTTGATATGTGTAGGACGAGGGGAAGTGGTTTTAAGTTGAGGGAGGGGAGATTTAGGTCGGACATCAGGGGGAAATTCTTTACCCAGAGAGTGGTGAGGTACTGGAACAGGCTGCCCAGAGAGGCTGTGGATGCCCCGTCCCTGGAGGTGTTCAAGGCCAGGTTGGATGGGGCCCTGGGCAGCCTGGTTTAGCATTAAGCGTGGAGGTTGGTGGCCCTGCATGTGGGGGGGTTGGAGCTTCATGATCCTTGAGGTCCCTTCCAACCCTGGCCATTCTGTGATTCTGTGATTCTGTGATATAAGAAAGTACTTTTTCAGCTATTTTTCTTAGTACTGTATCTAAGTGCTATGCTACGTTTTTTATTTCCTCATGCTCTCCAGAGAGATATTGCAAGAGTAATAACCCTGTGTAACATCCTCAAATTACCTACAGAAATCAGTCACAGCTTGCAGTAATTCTCGTGTCCTTCACTTCTGTCAAGCTAGATTCCCAGTTCACTCTCCCAAGATAGCGTGAAGGAGTTTTTCTGCAAAGCGTGTTAGTAGTAATGGCTGTAACAACCGTCCTTGGAGTATCTGGAGCCAAACACATTAGAAAGGGAAGACTTCAAACAAAAACATTCTTCCTGGAAGTTATTTGTATATATCACTAACAGCAAAGCTCAGAACTGGAAAATGTGAGGAGAGAGAGGTAGGTTTATTTTAGCTCGAGTTGTAATAGCATACTAAGAAAGAATACCTCCATGAACACAGATATAAGATTTTCTTGTTGCTAAATTTGATTACAAGGGATTAATTATCTTTCCAGTACTTGTTACGATGCCAGAACACACCATCATGATGGTTCAAAGATTAAAGTATATAAAATGCGACATGACTCCTAAAAGACATTCTGACATGAGTGGCAGCACTTGCTAGTTTTAGGGTTAATGATCCCCTTTCTTAGACTCTGTGTTTATCCCACAAGACAAGTGGTCTCCAAAACTGGTCTGTTTTTTAATTGGTTAGTCTTTTTGGTGATATATACAAAAGATAAATGGGGAAAGTGCAGTGTTCCTTGTAAGGAGGGTGAGGAGCACGTGGGGCACGATGAAGAACAAGTATACGATTTCCCTTGCAAGATCAGCCCACACTAGCTGAGAGCAGAGGGAAGGCACTGCAGAACAGCCATGTTCCCTTGGGAGAAGCATTCATGGTAAAGATGCTCATTTCCACCCCTGTCATCTTCCCTCCTATATGCCAGCTAAACTGCTTGTGCAGCCACCCAAGAAACCAGACAGAAGAACTTATTCCAGCTGGAAAAAATTTACATATATTTAGCCATTTTTTCTTGGCTGGGATCAAATCTCTGACCTGGTTCTGCACATAACTGCACAAACACTTCTGCTGGCAATAGCAAGGGTGCCCAGTGAGGAATGGAAAATGCTGCTGGGAGTGGAGAAGGGTGGGGACAAACTGGTTCAAGCAGCATTGCTGCTGGGGTGTAACCATGGCATAGCAGTGCTGGTACCATCAGTGGGGCTGGCCAATGCAGAGGGGATGTGGGAAGAAGAGTTGCAGTTCCCAGGCCTCTGCACTGGCCTGCAGAGTCTGCTGGCAGCAGAAAGCCATGCTGCCCAGAGATTGATATGAGAATTGTTCTTCTACAGCACTCTCAGATTTCTTGTGGTGCTTAGGAGAGAACCACATAACCAAGAACTCAAGAGTTCCTAAAGGACAACTACACTTCCAACCAAGCAAATAACAGGCTACTTCACTTCTTAACCCTTCCCAGGCCTTGATTTTTTGTTGCAAAAGTGTCAGTATTTTGCCTTTGAGACAACCTCTCTCCAGTCTATAATTTTGGGCCTTCACTACATCAAGAAAGGAGGGTCCTCATGATCTGTTATGGGCGCACATCCTCTAAGAGAGTATGAAAAGATTTGTTTAGCTTTACAGAATGAAAAACAAGAGGAATACTGATGCTATCTTTTAAGATGGATAATATCGAGGAGATGGAAGCCCAGCATTAGCACAGGAACTAATTTATAAGTCGGCCAAGAAAAAATGCTAGGTTAGAAATATTGAGAAGGCTCTCATCTGCCTAAGTGAAGATATTCTGGAAAAGCCAGCCAGAGATAGTAATAAGGACAAGCAACTAAATCAGCCTGGAGACAGAGATTGCTTAGCCTGCTGAGGGGATTACCTGGTATCATAGAGTCATAGAACCATAGACTGGCAACGTGGTAGTGCAAGCCACAGCAAAAGTGAAGGCAAGCAACTATGTAGCCAAAAGGTCCTTTTTTTCCCCTTTTTTTTTTTTTTTTTGTAGTAGTAGTAGTAGTAGTAGTAGTATATGAAGAAGCATTAGTCCCATTATCTTTCAATGAGTAGCAGGGTTCAAGCTCCTAGCTGGAAGGACTTGCATCACCTTTAACAGGAAAGAACCACAGAGCACAGTTGGAAAGGTGACAATTATAAGGAAGTCTCTGGAGACTGAGAACACAAAGATACAAGCATATTTCAAAAATTCTGTCAAAGGGTAACAAATGAACATGTACTTATCCAATGAATTATTAAATTTTAAGAAAGCAAGGCAATAAAGGACTT